TATTTGCCCCCCCCCCCCCCCCCCCCCCCCCCCGGGAAAGCAGTGACTGGGGGTGGGGGGCAGGTGGCCCTCTTGCCCTTTGCCCCACTCTCTCCCTACAGCCTTCCTGCCACCTGTACCCAGCTCCCCCCCAGTCTCTGCCTCTTCCTCCCTCTGCCTCCCCTCTTAAAGTCAGATGCTGCTTGGGATGCTTTTTCCCACAGCACAGCACATGGAAGCTCAGCCATTGCCTGGCCATGCAGCAGTGTCAGCACTGCTGATTGGCCAGGCAGGGAAAGGAATTCTGTGCTGCATGTCCAAGAGAGACCCTAGCCAGTGCCAAGCTGGGCCTGACAGTATGGGGGAGGGAGGAGGCAGAAGCTACACAGTGTGGGGCACAGGGCCAAAATCAGAGCCATGGCAACTGCCTGCTCCCCTCTACACTTTGTATGCAAATATAGGACAAGGGGCTTTTCCCCCATGCTGATTAAGGGGGGAAACCTCATCTTATATTCAAGTAAATACAGTATGTTATTTGTTTCTGCTTACGTCTGCCAAAAGTTAAGTAATTTTCGCTGCAGTATACCTGGTTTACAATGTACTTTTTGTTGTTGAGCAAAATTTAATGAAGAATGTAATTAAACAGAAAACCTCACATATTTTACTCAGCTCAGCTTTCTAGCCAGCGGTGCCCAAACTTCCAGCCCTGTGGGCTGAACTAGGAGCGCAGGGTTGGTCTACAGGGTGGGTCAGATCCCGCACTGGGCTGGCACACGGGGTCAGTATGATCTAATGTACTGGCCTGACCCTGCATGCCATATCCAGATGGGCACTTACCTAACAGATAAGTCCATGGATTTGGAAATGTGGCAGCAAGAAAGTTGGCAATTAATGCAGCTACCATTCCCCAACTACAAAATTTCCAGACCCCAGGGAGCCCCACAGGCCAAACAGCATGGCTCCACTGGCCGGATCTGACTCGCAGGCCAGGGGTTGATCCACCACCATTCTAAAAGTTCACATAGCAAGAAGTACTTGAAACAGTAAATATGTCAAAAAAATAAATTTTACATTTTAAATTGTTAAGTATTTGATTCTTTTGATGGAGAAAGCCCTCTTGCTTAAATAATTTCATTTCTGGCACTACAAGGTGGAAACTGAATGTGTGTGATTAAACCTATTTCCAACTTATTTTAATAATTACATTTTAAAAAACAGAGGCAGGTTACAAAGTCTGAGATACCTTTATTCTTCAGAGAAAACACTATGATTTCATTGTTTGTATCCAAAGTGATTTCTTTGTCAATCTCAGATTCGCTTTTTTTTCTGCATCATAGATTATTGAAACAAAGTATTTTTAAAAGTTAACATGCTTTTACCATTTTTTTGGTATTTCATTCAACTCATTCTATTAAAATAGTCATTTTTCATATACCTGAACTATCTTTATCTTCCATTTTAGCAATTTGCTGAAGCATGTGGGTCATATATGTGATAGGAGAATGTAGCTTCCTGAAAAATAGTTCCCCCAAATTATTTTTAATTATAGAATAATCTTTTTTAAAATTTGCTTTATTAACCTGAGTTTCATTTCTGAATTGATATTTTCTTCTAATAATGTTCACTTTAGGATCTGAACAAACGTTTGTCGCTGCCTGCAGACATCAGAATACCTGATGGATATCTAGAAAAGTTGCAGATAAATAGCCCACCATTTGATCAGCCGATGAGTCGACGCTCTCGTAGAGCATCACTAGTAAGTTTTATATTATCTTGCCAAATAAACTTCTTCTCTTTTAGAAAGTCCCAGTTCCATTCACATCTTCACATACCATGCATGTATATTATATGTTTTTCTTACTTCCATTGGATTGAAGGCTTGATCATGCATGTTCTTGAGTATCTTTGACTCTGTGTTGAAATTAATGGAAAAGCTCAGCACCATACTGGCTAAAACTATATTTTTCCCTTTCAGTTTCCTTTTTTCTTTCTTTCTCTCTCTCCTTCCCTCTGTCTCTTTTGTGGACTTTTCTTCCCTTCATTTATTATTAAGGCCATCTATTGAAGTCAGAAACAAAAGTCACATTGGCTTCCATGTTACCAGCTCCAACTGTAAGCTCTTCAGACCAGATTGTCTCCGTGCTATGTGTTGTACAGTACCAAGTCTATGATGTTCCTAGGTACTATGACACTAATAATATTTTGTACCCAAGTCATCACAGACCAAAAGAAATTTGCACTTGGATTTTTTTACCATGTCAAGTTTTTGCTGTTCTTGCTGTTGTTTTGACATTGGTATTCTAGATATGCGCTTTGGTTAAAAGCAAAGGGAAAAAAAAAGAGGCCTATTTAGGTACTAAAGAATATTAGTTAATAAAAATGAAATACCATATAAAATTAGATTGAGTTAATTGTATTTTTATTTAAAAGGTTTTTGTGGGGAGGTGTGCATGTCTAATTGTGGTATAAATATGGTAAATCTTACTATTTTCTATTCCACTTGTTATAGTACCTCCTGTCTTAAGTAATAGGAAATAGACTATTAGCTCATTTCACATAGATCATCAAATATATTAATTTTTAGAGGTGTACAAAACGGGTCGTATTCGATTTGGATTCGGCCCAAATCAGGGGCAGTGATTTGATTCGTGGATTTGGATCACTATCCCCGATTCAATTCGGCCAAATCTGAAGATTCAATGCTGATTCAGAGAATCAACAATTCAGCCATAGACACAGATTTAAATGTTTTTTCTACATACCTTGAGGCATAACAGTCGCAGCTCTGAATACTGCAATGCTAGGATGGATGGAGTGTCCCACAGGAGCATGAGGAGGCCCCCACGTGCTCGGCAGTGAAAGCAGAAGTGGACCGGAAGTACTTCTGGTCCACTTCTGGGTCTGCTGCCAAGCGTGCTAGGGAGCCCCCCCGCGCTCCTGTGGGACGCTCCATCCACCTCAGCATCTCAGCATTCACAAGCCACCTGGTACCTTGAGGTATATAGAAAAAACATTTAAAGCTGTGTCAATGTCTGAATTGCCAAATTTTTCCGAATCTCTCTTAATCGATTTGGAGCGATTAAAGGGTCTCCTGATTCGATTCGGATTCAGAGATTCGGCCACCGAATCGGGCCGAATCTCCACCGAATCGAATCAGGGACTGAAGCTTCACACAGCCCTAGTAATTTTGCATTTGTTACTGATCTAATTTCAACTCTTACTGTAGAACCAGATCCAGAGAGCCTAATATCAACTCTCTGTGTCAGTTGTCAGGAGTACTTCTTGATGTAAAAACATAAACTGGACAGCTTTATAAAATCTAACTTCTTGATTTACCCTGACAATATTCTAGTTTCCTAGGTGTCAAATAAATAGGTACTTGTGAAACTATATAAAATATGCATGCTGGATTGATTTTAATTAGTTGTGCTGTATCTTTGTTTTAACTGTAAATATTGTCTTTCCAAATAAATAATATCCATAACCAAGCAATGAGTGCAGTAACATAGTTTTTCCCACTAGAGATTAAAGCTCTGTGGTACATTTTACTTGTATGCTGCCAGTATTCAGCCAAAAAAAGATCAATCTAAGTATTGGTGGCATACAGACTATTGAAAACACTGAGGCACTTTGTTTAAATAAATGGTTGTTTGAGTACTTTGTAGATTATTGACCATAATCATTTGAATAGTATGGTATTAGTGACATGCTAGCAATGACCAGTACAGTGCCTTAGGATCTTTCTCTTTTCTGATTTAATAGTGTACTCAAGTAACCTCTCTAGGTTTAGATTATAATATTTAGTTTGATTTTTTTTTTCTTTGCATCTGCATACCATACTCATTACATGCAAGTTGTAAAGCTCTCTAGGCTTAGTGCTGTCTTCTTTAGAATTAAACTAAGAAAAACAGTGCCCTCTAATGAACAGAGAGCACACATTTGGAATGACATTTCTGTTGCAAGGCTTTCTTTGTGTTTTTGTTTTGTTTTTGTTGTTCTTCTATATTTTAAAGATGTGTTGGGTGCTTGTGAGTCTAACATGAGAGATGCTAGCTGCGTTTGGTTTACAGGCATGCAAGTGCTGCATTTTCCTTCCTTTCTGTCAGTCTGCGTTGCTTTTTAAAAATGTACAAGTATTTTGTTTTCAGGAAGTTCAGTATTCTGGGCTTGTGATTGAAAGTTTACCTTGCTTGCAGAGTAGTAATTTTTTTCAAGGTTTAGTAGAAATTAAAAATTAAATGATGAAGAGTGGTTACCTTTTAGACTGAATTCTGTCCTCTTTCAAACATAAAACTGAGATTACTGCAAAATGTTAATAGTCATGTATAATAGTTCATTTACTGCTTTGACATGTACTAACAAGTGCAGTGTTTTATATGCAGTTGTGTAACATCTTGGGCACTTCTAGTGACTCATCAGGTATAAATGGAATTTCCAGTCGTGTATAGAAGTCCTAAGGTTAGACTTGTATTGCAGCATGTAAACTAATTTTATGATTGGTAAATAGTATAAGCACCCTTTGAAAATAAAATGAAAACTGGCTTTGTCTAGTAATTTAGGGAGTTTGACAGTTTTCTTCAGGGAGTGGTCTTCAGGTAAAAAAAAAAATATATATATATAGATAGATATATAGATATATATAGATATATAGATATATATATAGATATCTATATCACGGTGCAAAAATATGAAAGCAGCAAGTCCTGACTGTTACAGAATATCTGCCCTGGTATAGATGCATCTTTCAGTCTACCAAATGGTTGATTTCCGATAATGTTAGAGAAAAATTGTATTCGTCTGAAATGCTCTACAAGCTTTTGGTTGGAATGCATAGCTGCTTGCTGTCAAACTGTTTTTCAGAAGCAGTTTAATGTAATATTAAATTGGGTAGCTAATGATGCATGTTAATATATCTTCACAACTGTTAGAACAACTACATTTCCCTGATGCAGTGCTAATTCAGACATGCTTTGCAGGGAATGGAAAAAATGGGACAAGGTAAATCAGTGTTCCATGGTTCTTCATCCTGCTTATGCCTGACCTCCACTGTAGCAACATTCATGTCCTCTGGACACTGTTGTAATATAAATGACAAATGTACCCCCAGTTTTGTTTTCTGCATTTGCAAGATTGTTGACTACTCCGGACTTAATTCTCAGAATAAATGAGAGAGAAAATATACAGTAAAAATTCTAAAATGAGCCAAAGTGTATTCAAACTCCTCACCTGGATTCTAGCACAGCTACTAAACCCCCAGGATTTCTGATGAATTATCTTTTCTGAGTGTTTTAGGAACTTTCCAGGGACCCTAGCACAAGTAATTGGGATTCATTTTTTTTCTGCTGAAACAAAACTGGTGTTCTGAAGATTCACTCTCCTGTATATAAAAAGAGCCTCCCCAAAATGTAGTTCCTGTGCAAACTTAAGAAAAATATACATTGAGTTTATAAAGGAAAACTATATGCGACCTTAAATGCTGATGATCAGTATCTCTGTACTGAATGCAATGTATAATGTTCTTATGATTGAGTGGGCAAATGGAACACTGAAAATAGGTGCTGAAGCTGGTCTCATCGTTCAACACATGGTGAGGCTATAACACTGTAGGAAACACCCTTCAGGTAGGAGTACAAAAGGGGAAAAGCACACTGGAAGAAGAAAGTTAAGTCTGACATGGAGAGCCACCTTGATTAGAAATGGAAAAAGCAGCCGGACCTTGAGAGATGGTCTGGTTTAGACTCTTTAGTCTTACTGTTTGTTTGATTATTTATAAAGTCAAAACCCTGGAAATGGGTATGTTTTGATCCTATGCAGGCTGCATGCATTGTGCGAAGCTGATTTAAAATGGTAATATATGAAAATTACCTAACAGTCACCCCAGATCATTACTTTTAAGTATCAAATGTGTGAGTAGCAGAGGGGGAGAGAAAGAAGGCAGGAGAAAACAAGCCAAGGGATCAGGGCCTGCTATAAGCCCAAAAAGAGAAGAACAGATCTTTAAATGTTTTTGAGAAAAACAGCAGTTAGAGACACTGAGCAGGAAAGAGGTGTAGAACATTCTAAGATCATCCCACCATACAGAATATGATGTCAACAGTGATAAAATTAAAATAATTGAAACAATTTGGGAGGGGAAGGGTGGTAAGGTATTCTGAATTTTACCTTCTTCAACTTAATATCCAGACCTCCAAAGGTAGGTGATGGGTTGAAAGGCTGAGCTGTAGGATTTGGCATGGTATGACAAGTCCTTAAAATGATGTGCTAAAACAGTTTTCGAAGTTGTATAACATTGTAAGTTCACTTTATGGTTCAATGCTTTAAGATTTTCTGCGAAACAAAGTTTTGATTGTTGAATAGGTGAAATGTAAGTGAGATGTCACTCATTATTTTTATGTATTTATTGATTTATTTATCATCTCTTGCTTTTATTGCAGTCAGAAATTGGATTTGGGAAAATGGAAACTTATATCAAATTGGAAAAACTTGGAGAGGTTTGTATAATTTTCTTTAGGAGTCGCCTATCTATAGTGCTGCTGAGAATATATGCTTTATTTACTTCAAACTTAAAAATAAAAAAATTACCTTTTAAAGTATTTGTCCCTATAAATCCCCACTACATCTATGTCTCTATGAGTAAACTAAATATAAAATAATGTGCAAATTGCTCTTATACACACTGTATATTTGTAGATATTTTTTGTGTATGTAGATATTACAAATAAGAAGAGCATTGGAGCTTGAGCACAACAAAAAAACAGACTCCCTTACAAATTCTTTTTGGACAGTTGCTATCAAGATCTGCAGTGTACAGTAAATAGATGCTATGTTCATAGCTGCTGTGAAAAGAAAGAATGGGGAAAATATTGTGTTGCTTGATATTGCAATAATGAATCCTCTCTTTCTCAGATGTAATGTTTCACTCATTTCCAAATGCATCTGGTTTAATTTGCCCCTGTTGTATATTAGATGGCTCTGTTACATGGTGTAATGTTACGCATCTCTGGGGAAAATAAGTGTCATCATCAGCACTGGTACAGATGTATGTTATCCCATTTGTATTACTGCCTAGCGCAATGAACAATGCAAGTTGCAGACTATTACCCACAGTTGAAAGTGCAGCATGGTTTATATTATGTATCAGTGATTTCAGTGTTCTGTTGACGAAGGAAACCCCCTTATAATAATGCAAGATTATTTTTTAGGAACCTTTGAAATTTACAAGCAAATACAAAAAGGTGTGTCAGGAAAAATAATTTCTTACTTTATTTTGTGTTCCGTAACTATTTTCATGCAAAATTGAGTTGTAGGGTGAAAATATCTTCATTCTGTTAGATGGTCTGTTCTGCACATCCCTAAAAGCAGTCTTAATGTTGGAAGATACCCAAGCTGGCTTTTAAATCAAATTTGTCTTCTTGACAGGGTAAATTATCCTGCTCCAGCTGCTAGATTACTACCAGTTCACAACCTAGTTAATTTAAAATTGCCTTGGGTATTAGTACTCTATACTGAAGTCATTTACATACTCTCAGAATCTTTTAACCTGATTTTCAGAGTTGGAAAAAGCAAAATGTGGCACCAGTTATGAGCCTGTCTGGGTTTTTTTTGTTTTGTTTTTTTGCTTAGTAGGTTTTTTTTCTAATTGGACTTTCTGTAAATGGAAAAGTTTCATGTGTGTGTTTTCTCCCCCTATTACTACCCAGGGTACTTATGCAACAGTATATAAGGGAAGAAGTAAATTGACAGAGAACTTAGTAGCTCTAAAAGAAATCCGACTGGAACATGAAGAAGGGGCACCATGCACAGCCATAAGAGAAGGTAAGGAAAAGTGCAGTACAGTCTTCTCCACAGTGTGCCTTTAATAAGTATAGTTTTGGACATTTACCTGCTTGTATGCAAGGCTAACTGTGGTATGAGATCTTACATTCTGAAAGGTAGTTCTTTGAATTACAAAAGAGTCTAAACAAAAAGCTTGTAAATTTGAATTATTTAATAATCAATTTGCTATTTAGTATTTTCTGATCCCATTCTTAAGTTCTAATTCTATTTTTTTTCTTTTGCAGTGTCATTATTAAAAGACCTAAAGCATGCAAATATTGTTACATTGCATGATATTGTTCACACAGACAAATCTTTGACTCTTGTTTTTGAGTATCTGGTAAGTATTAATACAATAATCAAGCTTTATATTTAGTGTATCTATTTAGAAAGTGTTAATTATTCTTATTGTAGAAACACAAACATAATTCTATAATTTTTCTTTAAAATACAAGACTTAGTAGTCTTGCTGCCATGCTTTTGCTTTTTCTTTTTTTTTTTGCATATGCTGCATTAAGTCTGGAAAACAAATATTTTCTTAACCAAAAGTTAATTATATCATAATATGCAAAATTAGAAACATGGGATTGGAATGGTCTGGCTCTAGTCCCTTGTATACACAGGAAACAGTTTATCCAAAGAGTCCTAAGCATTATCCATTCCTGTACCTCATGCAGCAGATAATGAAAACACATGCAAGCCACCCTATGGCCTGTCAGACAGAGGAAGAAAGACTGGCATATCACCAGTGTCCTGCCACTCCAATGGCAGGAAAGTTATATGGGTAATGTGTGCTCAAATCCCAAGAAGAGAACCAGACTTCACACGCAGGCCTCAAACCAGCCCCAACCCTTCCTCACAACAATTTACTAATCTGACTTTGGGAGAGAAATTTCCTCCCACTCCCCAAATCTGGCAATCAGTTCCTTTTTGACAGAACAAGATACTCTGCCAGGAGCACCAGCATGCTTACAGTCAAAACTCCCACCTTTCACGGTGGTTGGAAAAAAAAAAAGAGAGAGAGAGAGAGCGCCTTCCAGGCCACTACAATTGATCAGCAGAAGTCTCTGAAGTGTGGGATTGTTTAGGCCCCTCCTAAACAAATAGTTCATTTTCAGTTTTAACATGACATTTGTAAATACTTCCAGTCTACGTATCACAACTGCCTACTACTGATCCAAGAAAACACCTGTCCAAACATGTTTTGTCAAATTCTGAATTGTTTGGCGTTTGATCTTTTGTTTTCAAAGTTGCACTGTAAGTAATTTAATGCCATCTAATTTAGGAAATGCTCACCTGCATGAAGGACATGAACTGTAGGAAACAGTTGGCTGAGAATATAACAGTTATGCACCAAAGCACTTGTATACATAATCAAAGTCATGACACGTGCGCCATTTTAGCCTTTTTCATTCCACATTACAGATATATTTACTGAGCATAATCTAACTATATCTTTGTACTGTGTATGGAATCGATTCAGGTAATTAAAAAAAATCATGGTAGTTGATTTACTACAAAAAAACTTGGTAGTTTTCCATGTAACTTGAAAAGGAAATAAACTTCAACTTAATTACCAACTTTGGAGGAGGAAGAATGAATTTAAAATGCAGTATAATTAACAGAAATAGCTGGGAGTTTTCCATGTTTAGGTATTTAATATTGTGATAAAATATCTCAAAATTTTCTGCAGAACGAGGAGTCTTTTTAGGGAAAAAAAGCAAAACGTAAGATATCTGACAAGATTTTTGTCCATATGCAGATAAGATAGTCACAAAAATTATATTAAGCAGTGGTGACTGTTTGGTTTCTTTTTTGGACAGGACAAGGACCTAAAGCAGTACATGGATGATTGTGGTAACATCATGAGTATGCACAATGTAAAAGTGAGTGTTTTGATAACTGTTTGATTTTTTCAGAATTTTTTTTCTGATCATGTAGAAGTTACTTTCTACATTTTAAGGTTTTAAAATTTGTTTTTCACTTAAGTTAAAAAAACCCACGTGTTTCTTTGCATGTTTGGGCCTATTTTATTTAAATGGGAAGTTGGATCAAGCCCTTAGGTCAGTTTAGCTTGGTTTTGAATTCTGAACAACAGAGATATCAAGCCAATTATTTTGCTGAATAGGGCTTTCATTAACTTATAACTTTTTCTTTTATAGAGGAAATTAGATCACTGTAGCTAAGATTACTGCACATTTGTCTGCTATTTATTTTTGCTCTTCTTGAAATAGGAAAATAAAATGTACAACTGCTGCTCTCATCTGACTTCCCAGAGTTTCCGACTGGTGTTTGTTGTATTCATTTGTTGAGACAAGATTGTAAATTCTTTGCGACTTGAGTTCTCTTGTAATATACTTGTGTAAGACAAGACCAGGGGTGGGCAAAATACAGCCTGTGGGCCTGATGTGGCCTGCCAGCTGATTGTATCTAGCCTGGGGGCAGGAGGTCATGAACTCAGGGGATCTGGCCTGCAGGCAGCTGGAGTCTCCAGCTTTGGCCACTGGATGGTGCCAGGCGAACCGACCTGTTTCCACCACACCAGGTGGGAGGGCAGGGCTGCTGGTGACATCAGCTGTGGAACTGGGCAAATGCCCCATTCCCCACCCAGAACCTGCCAGCTGTTTCCACAGCTGATGCCAGCACCTGCCCAGGGCTGCTTCCAGCACATTGGGTGGGGGGTGGTGTAAACTGTGGATGTGGCCAGCAGGTGAGGATTGGAGCATGCTACAGCTCCGGACAGGGTGGGGGTTGGGGCATGCTTCAGTTCTGGGTGGGCTGGGGATCAGAGCGTTCTGCAGCTCCAAGCAGTGTGATCAGGTGGTGTGGAAATAGGGGCAAAAAAGAGAGAGAAGTGTGGCCCTCAAGGGGGTACTGAAACTTAAGTGGCCCTCCAGCCAAAATAATTGCTACCCCTGACTTAAAGGGGTGCAGGGTTGAGTGCTACTGAAGTAGCTCTGGACTTCCAGTTCAAATCATCTGGCCTATATGAAGTACCGGTAATTTAGGGTAGCCTCCAGTTACAAGTACTGCCTGTCAGATATTTTGTTATTCAACAATTTTCACCCCGTGCCTCATGCTTGAAATGTTACAATTAAGGAAAAAGAATATTCATGTCTTCCTTTATTTGGACATGTAGTTGATCAGAGGAAACTCTTATTAAGCCAGAACTCTGCTCTAAACCTGTACATGTGGCTGGGCCTCATGGTGAACCATGAGAAATAATCCTTTATTTCATCACAGACAATAGAGTTAATAGAAGCAAAATAGACGATCAACAAACTCATAACTTCAAGATAGATAAAAGACTCCCTTTTAATTTCAGTCCTGATAAATGGGACATCCCTTTGCTAGACAATGATGCTAGAGATTTATCTGGGATGGAGTGCTTTGTGCACCTGCCCTTCAGATGTTTTTTCAGCACTCCAGCAGGATGTATAGCAATGGACATTTGTCAGCAATATGCTACAAAAACAAACCAGGGTACTCAGTCTTCTCCTACATGTAACAAAGCAATCAAGTTGTAGAACTGACACTGCCTACAGGCTGCTACTCTTTAGCCCTGCACCTAATACAAGTCAGCAGTGAGTTGGCAGTTTTTCTGATAAGCCAAAATCTTTAAACAGCTATGATCAGTGTCAGCACTGATTCCATATTCTGTCAGTGGAGGTATCTGTTAATAGATATGTTTCCACCAGACCTAGTGCAAAGTGTCTGAATTTTCCTGCTCGGACAAGCATGAGCCCAGGTTCCACCTTCTTGCTACAGTGAAGTTGAGTCAAAAATTAATTGAATATGAAAACTTCCTTTCTCATATCAGTATTCTTTGGATCTTCCTGATTTCTCATACATTTTGGCCACCTTCACACTTATCCTTCCTACAACATAAAAGGTTTAAATGCATGTATGATTGCCATGGAACTAGCTACGTTGGCAACTGCTGTTTCATTGCAGAGATTAAAGCGATAACTCATCATGTTGCACAATGTTATCCGCTTCTGGCTATAACTCTTGCACATTAAAGCTTACTCGAGCAAAATCTTTAGTCTGTTTCCAGTGTTCCAGTTTCTAGGATCTGCACAGCTACAATAAGGAGAAAGACTCTTACAACTGTAAAGCATTATTATAGCATGAATAATGGGGTGCGTCCAAACAAGAGCACATGTGCGTTTCCCCAGGGAAAATAGCAGCAGCATATATTTGTGAGGCTGCTATTTGTCCCCAGGGAATGTCCCTGCATGTGTGCTCTGGTGTGGAGCAAATTGTCCTGGGTGCTGGCCCCCAGTAGCCTTACTTGGGATCTTGGAGGCCTCCAAGAGCTCCAGCAGCAGCAGTCTCGGCACATGGACCCTGGCTAGCAGTCAGAGCATGGCTCTGTCTGACCACGCTACAGTTTTGGGCAACATGCTGCTGCCACATGTGCTACGCTACTTTCTGTTGGCGCACTTTTATTTTTTATACCAGGATTTCCCAGTATCTAAATTTGGCTCCATGCTGTAAATATGCAGCGTGGAGAACCAAACCATGTGCACAGAGTGCATTTTGCACCAACTCAGAAACCTTTGAGGATCCGTAAAGCACCCATGCACACTTATGTGGATGCCCCCAAAGAGTTGAAAGGGACTTTCACTAGGCCAACCTCCTCCACAAATTCAGGCTTTGTTATTCCTAAGCCATTCCTAGCTGTTTATTGAAAACCTCTAGTAAAGGACACTCTGCAGCTTCCAAGGCAGCTTGCTCCATTTTCTTGTTGTTGTTAGTTGAGGAAGTTTTTCCCCGGCTTTTACTTAAGTCTGTTTTGCTGCAGTTCAAACCCGTTGCCTATCATGATCCAGATTTGTCTGCGACTCCTAGTGCCATATATTAGAGAGCAGTGCTCCTGTCTCTGTTTAACTGATTTTCTTAGCGCTCATTCCTGCAATCCTGAAAACACTGCTTGCCAGTCACCCACAATGGAATCAAAATCTTCATGGATTTTTTTTCTAAGAAAAAAGGTTATTTACTGTAACAGGACAGTTTGCTCCTTGAAGGGTCAGTTGGAAGGCCATCCTGCTCAATTAGTAGTCCTACCTTGAAAACTAACAAGTAATTTTAAAATGAAATGAGTGGCTCAACTGAGTAAAAGGTTCAGGTATGACACTGGCCCTTGCAGTAGTCCTTGAAGTAGAGAGCTGATAGTGTTAGCCTAGGATGGACAGAGGAACCGTTCTGTATGTTTTGACTAGTTTTACACTGCAGAAACAAATTGTAATGGGATGCAGAAAAGGCTTAGATTGGGACAGTGAGACTATTCTGTGCTGGGAAACCACCTCAGCTGCTTTACGTGGAAGGACACAGCCAGTTACGCTTACCTTACAATTGTAGTTCTTTAAGATGCTGTACTCAATGTTGATCCTATGATCTAACTCTCCCCCACAGCATTCAGATTTCCCACCTAATGTGGGCCTTATGTTGTAAGAGCTGGGAGCAGCTGGGACCCTGCCCTCAGTTCTATGCAATTCATAGGAGCTTGAGGAGGTACAGGATGTGGCCCAGTGGATATTGCTATCCAAAAGATTTTAATCTTATGTGTAAAGGGTATGTGCATGTGGGACCTGTTGTGACTTCCTAGGTCATTGAGTCAGTCCCCTGCTGTTGCAGGCAACCAGGCCATAGAATCCCTTGCATAACTTAAATCACTTCCATCTAAAGGCAGTTAGGTCTTTGCCCCATTGCTTCCACTAAAAGGCTTGATCCACACTAACTGTTACATATATCAAAGAAGCACATTTACTGAAGGGTCAGTAACAGTTGTCTTGTGCACTGAGATGACATGTCTGTCTCCAAGGAAGAGTGCTTCCTACATCACTTGAGGTGCCTTTAGTGGCCACCTGACTGCCAGCCCTGGGACAGCTGCTAAGAATAAACCTCACCCTTGTTTTGGTTTGTGTGCGCCAAAGGCTGGCAGTTATGTAGATTAAATGGCTCGAGAGGTCCCAGTTTGTGCAGCCCAGAACAGCAGAACACAGCTCTCAAGGTCTCTCATCCCTGAAGACCGTTTTGGGTATTGGAACGCTTGCTCAGGATCCCTCTATAGCACTAGCTAATTGTTGGGCTTGGGTACACATGGACAAGGTGTGATTAAGCAGGGCTTGTTTTCCTGATTGTGGCAAGGAGGAAGACAGTATAAATGTATGCTTACAGTCGTGTAACAATATGGGTGTGAGTAGGTGGTGCAAGGCATATTGCTGCATAACCTGCATTTTTAACAAAGGTGATCCCAGTTCCTCTGGTTCTAGGGCACGTAAATCCCATTGTCATACAAGCAAAATAAGATAAATAGATATAAACAGCAGTGCAAGTGTGTCTGTGTTATGTGAGGAATGTACTGGTGCTGTCATCTGCTACAAAAATAATTTGACATGATAAAAATGTTTATAACAGTTTCCCAGTGTATCTCCCTCCAAAGGTTGTGGACAAATGTACCTTTAACCACATTAAAAGTGGGGGAAGAACATGTCCGCTGTTATAACTGTTATGCCTGTATGCTCCTGTAGCAAAAGAAGTTAATTAAATCACTGTGATGTTTACCCATGTTTCATTCAGGATGAAGTTGGAGCAGTGTTGCTACATTTTTATCAGTAGAGTAATATGCAGATGTAACTGTTACAGTGTAACAGCATGTATCACTATAATTTGATGCCCATAATTATAATGTCTCTATACAGAAAGTGCCTAATTCACAACGAATCTGCTCTACAGAAGTATCTTTTCTGTATTTCCAGATCAATTACCTGCTGTCCACTATAACTAGCCAGAAGCATCAAGGGTGGGTCTTTCCTTTACCCCCATACATATGCAGGGGTAATTGTAGAGCATTAATTATTTATAAAATTCCATAGTGCACCGAGTAGGCTGCTTAACACTAGACTTTTTTCATTGTGCAGCTGCTCTTTATGTAAAGCACTAATACTCATTAACATGTAGCTGCTGGTTGTGGTTTGCCAGCTTGAAGGAACAGGAAAAGGTAGAGCATGACTGCATCTTCATTGAGTTATTAATGCAAAGGGAAAAGGCCAGAATTAGATTGGAAACTATAATGTTAGATAATGATACTAATATTCCCCATTGATAGTTCTCTGATGTTTAGAGGTAAAATCAAATTGTATCTTCTGGTTTTCTCCTCTATTGCCTTAGAATAAAATAATTGCCATAGCTTTGCACAGTGGAATAGAAGAACAGAGTTGCATTTAAAAAGAGATCTAGGGCAGAAGGAAAGGTCAGTTTGGTCAGAGAGCATCGTGTGGAAAATCATTAGTGTCGTTAGATATGCTAGTAAATGCTTATTTAAACAGCTCCTTGATTCTCTTCTGTGAAACAAAATAAATCTCTCTTGAGATCTTTGAGTTAAGTGTTGCATTATAATGTTATATTATCTGGGTGGCATAAATAGGCCTTACATCTGTAAACAGTAGTTATGATATTCAGAATACATTAGCATGGGAAAGTGACTTGCTATTTAAGAAGGCTTTTGTCTCGCTTGCAATAGAGCAACATAATTGCTCTTCAGTGGCCAAAAACCTGCTCTTGTGGTCAGTGTAACATGCAGCATTGTACATTTATCCATTAACCTCTTTAAAAATCTAATTTGTATTAATGTTTTCTTTGTTAGCTCTTTTTATATCAGATTCTGCGGGGTTTGGCATACTGTCATAGGCGGAAGGTGCTACATCGAGACCTAAAGCCACAGAATCTACTCATTAATGAGAAAGGAGAATTAAAGCTAGCAGACTTTGGTATGGACTGAAATTCTTGCTTTATTTAATATTTTCTTTGACTTACCTTCATTTCCAAGGTTTTCTTAATACTGTATTTTATCTGGGATTCTGCAAGGTTGCAAGTGCGTTTGTTCACATAGGGGACAGAAAGCTAACCACTGAAAGCACACAATGACATCGCTCCTTTGTGTATCTCCAGACTGTAAATGAAGCCAAGATAGTGTTGTTCTGACTAGCTTTATATGGCTGGCAAGATCCTGCCTTTGTTGTTATTGCTTGGGTACTGAGAAATGGAAAACCATACTTTATCAATAGACAAGCTCCCTTCTGCCACTGGAGTTTGTGACAGCTCTGATACCTTTAGTATACTGTACCCCTGATCTGTCCCTGAAAATGGAAACTCTTGGAAAAAAAAAAAAACACACATTTGGTGTGAATGCCCCTGTTAGCCAAGCCCCTGGGAGCAGTTAATACATGTGTTTAAAGTTATGGGAATATTTTTGTTTTTCCAGACTTGTCATTTGACTTTTTGAAAGTCATCTAGCTACTTCTGTTTGCTTCACTTCCCTTAGTTAACAGTTCTGTTGTTTAACTGCAGTGGGTTTTTGTTTGTTTCCAGCTAAACACTTCCTTAAACATTGAGAGTTTATTCTGTGCCTTATGTTAGCCACTGTATTATGGTCTCCTCCATCTTTCCCTCTCTGACACAAATTAATTATCTTAATATTAAGAGAGTTGGGGAGGAGGGTGCACAAACAATGTATTTGGTTGTATTAACTCTCATAGCCATTTGAATATGTTCTATTTGCCATTCGAGTTTTGTGTATCATTTTTTTGTAGCCTTCTCCCCACTCAGAGCTGATAACGGCTCTTGTACCTGCTTTATACTTTTTCAGTTGATATTTTAAATTAAGGAACTTTTTCCTATCTGATATGTCACCATATATGTCCACTTCCAATCGTTGTGGGTTTTTTTTAATTTGTCCCAGGTAACTTGTACCATATTTTCAGAATGAAGTGGTTTGGTTATAACTCAGTCTTTTCTTCTCTTTCTTTGCCCCCCCTCCCATGCATTCTCAGCAGTGGCAGCCATTATTAATGCATTTTTTAACAGTAATCAAGCACTTCTAACACCAACTTTCCATATGTAGGATATGATCAGAATTCTACCCTTCACATTTTTATGAATTTCTCTAGATATTGATTAGTCCTGTATGAATTCAGTGTTGGGCAAGTGTTGGGCATCAAGAAATATTCCACAAACCACTGTTTAACCAATGATGGTTCATCTAGAGAGGCAAGTGGCCAGGGGTTGAATGCAGTTATATATTTGTGCTGCAGATAGACTGGTTTCTGTGTCTTGAACTGGAATACATATTTTGGCTGATACAGGTGGTTCACGGTCATCAAAATGGGAGCAAATGTTCACGGAGAATGTATAAAGTTGAGATTTAAGAGTAACTTTATTAGTGTTTTTGTAGCTGGTACTACAGTCTTTATAGGACAGATAGCTGCCTTCAGCTTAGGGCCCGAGAAACTCCAATAAATTAATCTTGCAGAGTTGTCCGATAGATCACTGTTGTGTTGTCTGAGGAGTGTTACCTATATCCTGAATTGCCAAGCAAATGGGGCCTTTTTAAGCTATTGCTGTTTGAAGGGTATAGCTAGATGGAACAATTATCATTATAAACTGTTCCAACCTGTTATGCCAGTTTTAGCGGAGTTAAACCCCTGGAACATGGTTTTATATATAACTATCCAGAGATCAGCTAGATGAGAACTTTCATCTATGTATATGTTGATGTCAAAATGTTTGTATACAAGGTTAGAACAAGGTATCCTATCATCTGGGTTCTCATTGTTTGAGTAGACTTGACTTTTGAATGATTCAGTAGTTTAAAATGCTATACTTAAGTAGTACAAAATAATTCACATTACAGAATGACTGCACAGTTGCGATACTGAATATATAAATCTAACTTGACGTGATAGTATTGTATTGTATCAGTCCATTATAATTTAATGTTCCTTCTTAAAGTCTTGGTCAAACCCTATTTAAATAATTTAGTATAAGCTATCATTCAAGGGTTGTGCTGATAATTCATTTATAGTCTGTTGCCTGGGTTCATAAACCATTCTTCTGTTATAATTTACAGTATCTTTCTGTATTGTATTTTCAAGATTCTAAAGAGAAAATCATTTTTTGGAAACCATAAGGATTTAAAAATAAGGAAAAGTATACTAAGCACCATCATAACTCACACTGGCCAAGATACTCTATACTCAGGAAAAAATGCTTACCTCATATTTTATCAGTATTATTTCAGTATTTTATCAGTATTATTTCATTCAAAGTTAAGGTTGGTGTGTTGTGAATGGCCAATGTTATTCCATTCATGTAGAAAATCTTTGTTTTGCATCCCTTAAAACTGCTTGGCTAAAAACAAAAAAACCAAAAGAAGCAGAAACAAAAGTGTGTAGAAGTAAACATAATTAGGAGAATTGCATAACTACATTTTGTTGTTTTTATGAAGGTTTGGCTAGAGCAAAGTCCGTTCCTACAAAGACCTACTCCAATGAAGTTGTCACATTGTGGTACAGGCCACCTGATGTTCTTCTTGGATCTTCAGAATATTCAACTCAAATTGATATGTGGTATGTTTAGTTTTATAATTTTAATTTTTGCTCCTAGTTAAGTAAAGTATTATACATGTCAGCAAATTCCTGTAGCTCAATATTATTGTATCACTACTCAGAAGCTTCAGATGACTTCTATAGGGTTACATTTAAAATATGCAGTCAGTGGGGAGTATTGTTCCTACTTTTTGAAGACTAATGAAAGTACCTTAGGCTTCTGCATGGGAGGGGGGTACGAGACATAGCCTTGCTTATGTTTTTGCTGACTAAAATGCCCAGCAGTGATACTGAATATTTGCATCTATTGTGACATGGTTGTATTATATTGATTAAAAATTTACTTCAGAAGTCAAGTTTACCAGGCATTCCCTGGCTTTATGTGCATATTTTGCTTAATCTAGGTATTGCAGAGGTTTTGTTCAGTAATTGTCAGCCCTTGGTTTTACTTTTAATCTCTTACAATGTTTGCAACAGAGAAATATGTTTAATGGCAAAGCTGAAAGTTTAAAGAGAGTTTATTTTTCACTAATTTATCTTTCTTTTTTCTTTGTGTTCATAAAGGGGTGTTGGATGCATATTTTTCGAAATGGCTTCAGGAAGACCTCTCTTTCCTGGTTCAACTGTTGAAGATGAATTGCACTTAATTTTTAGACTTCTTGGTAAATTTAATGTTTTTAACAGTAACATTACTCTTCTGAAAATGAATTTTTTACTATAAAGGACAAGTCTCCTCTTTAATGAGGGGAAGTTATTTTGCATTACATGTAGCTGAATGAAGATGTATAAACATACTGTTGCTTATTTTGTACACAATTGAATCTGTACAGCAAAGCAAATTGACAGAAGTTTTTCTCTTCTCTATTTTATGTTACAAGGTCAAATGCTAATTTCCGACCTGTATTTATAATATAATCTGTATGGATTCGGTTTCTTCTTTGAATACAGGGACTCCATGTCAAGAAACATGGCCAGGAATCTCTTCCAATGATGAATTTAGGAACTACAACTTTCCCAAATACAAGCCACAGCCTCTAATCAACCATGCACCAAGGTAATTATGATTCATTATTAAAACTTTTGCACCTGCAGTGGCTACATGCATTTGTACATGTGAATAAGTTTCCATATGTACTTCACTGTTATATGTTAAATTACGTCCTTTAAAAGATCACTCGTCTTTCTGTAAACTGATATTAATAATGGCTTCTGGCTGAGATTAATAATGTGAAATATGCCATCAATGAATATCTGATAGTTTTGCTTACTACTGTTAAAGAAAATGAGATTCAGTTGCTAATACCTTCCTAAAGGAATATTCATACAGCCAAGTACATATGGCTGTGTCAGGCGATAGAGAAACAATTCAAGGGTTAGGGTATTTTTGTCCATTAATTTGCCATTTATAACTTGTACAAACTATGTATTTACAGCAAGTCTTTGAGATACCGGGATGTCCTGTATCCAGGTACCTTTTACACACACACACACACACACACACACACACTCCATATGATTTCGTTAATTCTTAATTACATTCTTGTTTTGAGATCAGTATCATTTTATGCAATTGACAGCATTTTAACTTTGCCTTTATAAATATTTCCATTGTTTTTTTTGTTGTTGTTATTTTTAGGCTAGACTCCGAAGGAATTGAATTGATAGCAAAGTTTCTTCAAGTAAGATGCCTTTTATGTTTTAAAATTTTAAAAATCCATATTTGTGGTTTCTTAATGAGTTATCAAAACCACAAAATCAATCTATACAGAACTGTACAATGGATGATGGGTTAATTATGGGTGGCTGAACAAGTGACGGATAGATTCCAAAAATTTGGGGACTGATGTCTGAATAGTTTCATTTTTCTCTTCCATGCTTTTATAAAGTAATGTTTAAATCCAGATGGGTAATTCTCACATGGATTGATGGTTAAAGCTGAGCTTAGAAGACTTGCACTTGATAAATGTAAAGAATATAAATAATGAGTCAGACTAAAGACTTAGAGAAATTGAATGTATAAGAGAATATTTAGGTAACAAATTACCTTTCCATATAGGTTATGCATATGGCTTTGCATGTACAAATTTCACTAAGTAATGTCTGTGGCTGTGAATACACTGTTTAGACTCTGTCCCTGAGTTCAGGGAGCAAAATGGGTTGCATGTGCAGCATCATAGGAAGCTATTTTAGGAGTGAGCTGAGTTCTTAAGTTAGGTTGCTGAAGGGTCTGTTCCAAGTTGTTAGTTCTAAGGCAGGACGTTATAAACTGCCTGCTGTGTAAGACAGTGGGCAGATATTATTCCTACTTAGTTACAGCCTGTAACTCAAAAATCCATACCAGCCTGTCCCTGGTTTTTTCACCTGCATATACTGAAAAGATAGTATTTGGTGCCCATGCTTGACGATTTTTCTTGCTTGCTCAACAAATTTTCTTGGTGAAGTAAACACTTCCTTGTTGTTGTTGTTGTTTAAAAAATTACAAAGAAAATCTGGCAACCACACTGTTGTGGATTAAGAACATAGTAAGCAGGGCTCCTGATTTTCTCTGTTTAAAAATAAAAAATTCTCTGATTAAAACCCCCCAAACCCGCGTTTTAATTTTTTGATTAAACCCCCCAAATCCTCACCAGGACCCCTGCACCAGCCATGTCACCATGGAGTATAACACTACACTGCCAGCAGCACAAGTAATAGACCATGGGGGGCCATGCTGCCCTCACCTCCTCCAGCTGCTTGTGCGCTGGGCCACAGCTCTACCCAAGAGGGGAAGTGGAACGGGGGCAGCATGGATAGCCTGAGGGGAGCGGAAGCTGTAGCTAGGCCATGGTGGTGGTGTAGAGTCCCAGCCTGAAAATGAAAAAAGTAGTGGCTTGTGGCAGGAGGAAGTGAAGAAAACATGCCCTCTCCCTGCCCCCCCGGTCCATTATTTCTCACTCTGGTGGTGGCGTGGTGTGGCCTTACTCCATGGCAGCACAGTTGGCGCGGGGATCCTGGCAGCGATTGCAGTGGTGGCAGCACTAGCGAGTCTCGCTGCCCTACTCTGCCCTCCAAATCCCAAGTGGGGGTGGGGGGATGGCACACAGCCGGACATGGAGCAGGGAGGCGGGGATGGGGTGCTGCCGCCTCCCACGAGCAGGGCTGGGGCAAGGCAGGGTGAGGGCAGTGGTGGCCATCATGTGCGAGCTTCCCTGCCCTGCAGAGGGGCGCCGCTGCCCTCATCCCACCCCAGCCCTGCTCCTGAGAGGCAGCGGTGGTCCATCCCTGCCCGCTCGTGCATACCCCCCTAAGGCCAGTCCAAGTACCCCTGTTTGACAACCCCTGCTTTAGAGGGAGAACATTGAACAACATACATCTAGAGTAATCTATTCCCTATTCATTACCCTTCCAACTGTATACCATCATTAGTTTAGAGATGCCAGAGCAACATCTCCAACTGTTCTGTGTAGGATATTGTATGAAATTCCCTGTCACAGAAAGGGATAATGCATCTGGATAAAGCATAATGTCTTCATTTGTAACTTTTAAAAAAATCTCCATGCATAAGAATAGATGTCATCTCACCTCATGACTGATACTGGCATGTGAAATAACCAAATTTCAATCTTTTAGTTATTGTCACTAGAAAGCGTATAAGAAAATTACATTATATTTTTTATATAATCCATGTCAGGCAGGCAAAAATAAGAGTTGTACAAGGTTTTTAAAATGTCTGTAAGTTCATAATGCTGGCCTCAGTAACATGTTAGAATACGTGAATAAAATTCAGGAAAAGTACCATTTTGGTGGGAATGATCTAATAAAACTGCTTTTTCTTAAGGGTAAGTCACCTGGATGCAAAAAACTATCTAAAAAATACTCCTTTTTGTTTTAACAGTATGAATCTAAAAAAAGAATTTCAGCAGAAGAAGCCATGAAACATGCATACTTCAGAAGTCTTGGAACAAGGATACATACTTTACCTGAAAGTAAGAAGAATAAAGTAGCAAGCAGTGTACCATCTTGTTGGATAAAAAAAAAAAATGTTATCATGAACTAGCATGAAGCATGAGCTGTGGTTGAACTCTTAAATATGACAAAAGGTCTTTTGCAACAGGACCTTCATCTTTAAATGGACTGAAAAATGTTCCATCACAAGATGATTAACTTTCTTAAGCAAAACTCTCAAAGACTCATCTGATACATAAGTGCAGTGGTTTGAATATTTGCACAAGGTGTTGAAGATGCTTTTATTTTTTTAGCAGAGAAGCATCTATTCTAATAAGCAGTTGGACAAAATTCTTTTGGCAATAAAAAAAAATGTTAAAAAATATGGGTTAGGCTTTCGTGAAATTAATGGAAAATGTAATATGAATTAGCTGAGTGGTTTTGGCTAAAATATTTTTTTTCAGGGAAGATTCATAACACTGGTGGTGTGGTTCTTCCCCAAGATTTGATGTACCAAATTTCAGTTTGTAACTTTTGGCTAGGGAGACTTGAACCACATCTTGGCCTATGTTATTTACTTTATATGTGTATATAGGTATATATGTATGTGTCAGTTATAGGAAAAATTGACAGCACTTCCTCAGAATATTTTATTGCTTATTGTGTGTATAGGCGCACGCACACTTAGTAAAAATACACTAAGTAGTACAGTATTCTGAGGGAGTGTTGTCAATCTTCCCTAATAAGTGATACTGTTCCTCTCTGAATCATTAACTGGAGCAGGTTTAGCCATGTGAATACAAATTAATCTTGTTTTCTTGTTACAGGTGTCTCAATATTCAGTCTGAAAGAGATTCAGCTGCAGAAAGACCCTGGCTTTCGAAATTCCTCTTACCCTGAGACAGGTATAGAAACATGGATATTTTTTTCTCATGTTTGCACTGTGCGAGAGCACTATACACCGAAAAGTATTGTGTTAATGATGAATTGGCATGAATGAACACGGGCAAATATCAGGAAATGTCCCACTCCATTTCCTTCCCCCCAGCCCTCCTCAGAGGCCTCGGGGGCCCATAACCACCTTGGCTGCATGCAGATATTAGAAAAAACAAAACAAAACCATGCTTTACTAAAAGAAGCAGCATGTTATTTTGACCTGGCTCTGCAGCATCCGTTTAAGTTGGGTACTTCAGCGGGGCTTTTTGGCAATTAAATAGCTGATTGAATCAGCTATTAAATAAAAGTGCCCAAAAAGCCTTACTAAAGCATCCAATCTATATAGTTGTTGAGCAAGTGAGTCCAACTAATGCACTGCATCTTCTGGGCATGCGCTGGGCTCAGTGCAGGAGCACACTGAGTTTAAAGTAAAGTGTGATTTGGGGGGGTTTTGTTGCTTTTTTTTTTTTTTAATGCCTGCAAGCAGCCCTTAACTACAGACTTCTATCTCCTTCCACCTTGTCATATCTTTACTTATCACTTCCAGATCAGTTTTTATGTTATCTTCCCATTCTTGCCTTGATCTGCCTTATACCCTCCACCTCAGCTTCCAAGATCTGTTTCACATGCCTTCTCTCATCAGTTCTCACAATATGCCCTGCCCACTTGAGTGTAGCTCCGTGCCACTGCCCAGGTCACATCTGCAGCCCACAGGTCACATGTGCAGAACCATTGCATCCCGCCCACTAGTAAAGTACACCCCATCAGCTCTGCACTACTGCATGCCCCTGGCACTGCAGACTGGCCAGAGATCTGTGCTCCTCTGGGCAGTGGCACAGAGCTGCACTCAAGTGGCAGCTCAGAGCTCTGGCCAGTAAGCAGTGCTAGGGGCATGTGGCAGTGCGAAGCCAAAGGCGTATGGTGACACAGCCATGTTTGGGTGGTGGCATGAAGCTGGGGGGCTGCCCCCCCCATAGTCCATGTCTGTGCTGTGAGACTAAATACACAATCTCATCCAGAATCTCAGTATCACAGGAAGATAAGGATAGGGAGTGGCAATGTGGAAAAGGTAGAGAAGTTTAAATATTAAGGAACAATAATCACTGAGGACAATCAAATAGCTGAAGAAATCAAAGTGAGAATTTGTAGTACTGATATATGCCTCTTGCATTTGGATAAAATAATGTCATCAAAGAAAACTGTAAGAAACCTTAAAATCCATCTTTATAGTAAAGTTGCTCAGCTTGTCTTTTATATGGATGAGAATCCTGGATGCGGAAGAAGGCTGCGAGTATTTGAAAACAAAGTGCTATTTGCTCAGGTTGTGCTAAAATCCCTGCAGAGTCAAATCTGGATCTTTCATATCCAGCTTGTTCACGACCCATTTGGTTCACAGCAGGCAGCTGAATTAATCGTGAGCTGTTCATCTGATTGCTGTACCTGCACTGCTTTTCTCATCAGCTGGAGCTCATCAGCACTCTTGCACGGCTGATTAGAGAAGTAGCACCCTTTGAAATAAAAGCAAAGAGCTGGGGCAGCTTAGTGGTCCTGTACAGCTGTTTGCTGCAGCTAAATATGCTCCCAGCTCATTCACAAATCCTCATGTTAACAGGGGAAAAGAAGCCTAACCCTATGGAGAAACTGGGTTCTGCTGTACATTAGACATACAGAGAAATGTGTTACTAGAGTTAGGCCAGATAGCATGGAAAATGTCTGCAATCCAAAACAGTCAGTATCTGAATGCTGGATGTCTTACCTGATTTTCAGCAGAAGAAACACCAAGCACATCATATCAAAGGACAGTGAATGCTGTGGGCTGCAGCAGCAGCAAAGTGAATCTGTGATTAGGTAAAACAGGAAAGGACGTGTTAAGTGTGTGGACACATGTAACAATTGAACTGTTCCAGTATGTCACTGATTGGGAACTGGTTTGCAGTTGTCATGGGTCAGGGTGTAGGCACATGTACCACACACTAGCATTCCAGGTAGAACTGTCACCTATTAGGCACTGAAGTGTTGTGGCTCTGAAATCATAAGATGGGAGCGAGCACCCAATCCAGCATGCCTTGTGAGGGGCAAATCGAGGAGGAAAAGTGATTGCACTCATGCTTTGAGGGGTCCCAGTGAGTGGATGGCCTGTGGTTAGGGGCATTTTCACTTTTCTGCTTTCCCTTCTTGTCTAAACATGAATTCAGTAAAGTTCATAACTTCCAGTTGACCAAAATTTGCAGTGTGCTTGCCTGACTTTGGGTAGCTAAGGAATGGAAGAGTGTTTGGGCGCATGGTTTTAGAGGGAGGTGGCGGGACAATGTGGGGCCACAGTTGAGTAAAGAGTGAAGATACTGCTGGTTATTAGGAAGATAGCTTTGATTGAAAAAGGAGTACAGGGGAACACATGATAAATAATGCCAACAAAAGGGGAAAAAAGGGGGCACTATAATTCTGGCCACATACCAAAGTAGCCAGTGTTTGGGGGTGCGGAACAGTGTGGTTTAGGACAGTGTTTCTCAACACCAAAGTTGTGACCCAAAAGTGGATCACAAGAATATGAGAGAGGGTTGCGAACAAACTTTAAAAATGGATAAACAAACTTTACAAAATGGGTTCTCCTGTAAAGGAGAAAAATGGGGGAAACTGTGGCTTTTCCTTTGCAGGCTGGCAGAGTTGCAGCCTGCGAGAGGCTGCTTGGGGCCCCCCATTCCCCACATACACACCACCCTGCCCCACATACTGGAGGGCTGGGGGTGGAGGCAGTGGGTCGGGAGTGAGGGGCACTGGGTTGGGACTGGTCATTGATGTTTTCAAGTGAGTTCTGGTACAAAAAAGGTTGAGAACTACTGATTTAGGAGAGCTAGAAGTTCACAGTAAATCAGTTCAAAAGAGTACTTGATTTTCCTAGTAGACTTTTGAACTCTTTCTCTGTTCTAGGAGTCTTTAAACAGGTTTTGTAGACTTGTAAGACTGGCTGCTTCAGGTTTAAACTGCATTTAAACCAGCTCAGATGTTACATGTGTCCATACTGTATGTAGGTAACTATCCTGATGTAGAAATTTTGGGTGGCATACAGTAAAAATGTGCCTGTTTGTTAACAAACTTAAATCTTCTGTTTCAGGGCATGGGAAGAACAGAAGACAGAGCATGCTTTTTTAAAGCTGGCGATACAGATTCAAGCCCAAGCCTATCTTTATCAATCAAGGACTCAGATCTGAAGGCAGTTCTTTCTTTTGGTGGACTTGGAATCTGTTTGTCTGCACTGTTCTCTTCACAGTGGAGTCTTTTTATTTCCAACCTGCAGATTATGTTTTTATATTTGTTGTCACAGTGTGACAATTTTTTGTACAGTTGATTTTAAGGTCTCCTCTGCCATTAGAGCCAGTAGGTTACAGCTGTTGATGTAACTGTAGCTGCAATTTTTGTGCAGGACTGAGAAACACAGTGCATTATTTATTGCGGAATCATTGCTGCTAAATAACTACTGTCTGTATAGTTAACACAACAGTTCAATGCCTGAAGAAGTTGCAATGGCTTTATAATATGTGAATGCATCTGTTTCTCTTCATAAACTGTTTTACTGCTGCAGTTTTTTGTATTTTTAAACTGCAGTGTTTCCTGGAATGTAAACATAGCTTTGCTTGACTATAGGTGAACCATCTTTAACGCTCTAAGTTCACGGCACTTAATTCCTTATTTAACATTGGAAATACAGTAGTTGAAATATTATGAAGCATATGATGTTTTTCAGAAGCACCTGATGAGAGAGTTGATTCAAACAAGTGAATGGTTAGTTATTATTTGCATTTTAATCTTGTATCTGTTACTGGTAAATTAAAGCACAGAGACTGAATGATCAGTTTTGTCAGAATTCCTCCGATACAAGATATTTGCACATGATTGTGCATCTCTCTCCAGATGCAACAAGGTTTTTTACCTTCTTTTTAACGTAATTAGAAATATGAATAGCAAAAGATCAATCACATGGCATCTCTGTTTTACTTTTGGAACTGAGCTTTGATTTTATTTTATTTTTCTTTACACAATAACAAGATGACTAATTACAAGAGCATGGGGAACAACGTCATATTTTCCCCCTCTTGTGGATTTCTCATTACTACATTATTCACTTGAAATCAACTGGAAAGATGCAACTTCATACTTGATAAGAACTCAGTATACATTACAGACCTTTTGAAAATGGGAACTTAGAGGGTTTTTAAGATCTTAGATGTTATCTGTTTACCAATGATAGTAAACATGTTACTACTATGCTTATGCATCTCAGTGAGTATCATAAGTACACCCTTGGTGATGGTAACAGTATTTTTAAGCATTTGTGTTCACCTTTATAAACCTATTTGTTTAGTGCATCTTAAAGAGACTGTAAATCTTTTATTGGTATATTTTGAAATGGTCATGTAAATCTTTGGCTGGTATATCATGAAAATAGTCATAGATAACTTAATTTTTTTCCTGACATTCACTGTAAAACATTCAGGGGTCCTATCATTTCTGTTCAGGAAATCTTGTAGTTTATTGTTATTTAACAGTATTAAGTGAATTTTTGTATATTTCATTTTAACTTTATTTGTGAATAGTGATTGTGGCATGTTTGGGGGTGTTTTATTAATATTTCATGATACTGGTAAATTGAACTGGGACTTTTTTTTATTTTCTGAAAAGAGAGAAGTTCATGTGTTATGGTGAATCTTGGACCACTACTGCTTTTCAGCATTTGTAAGCCGGTTTTACCTTACAGAAACCCTTATAGACCTAACAAAACTGCTGTTATTTCTAACTGACGGACCTGTATTAATATTGTACTTTTGAAAGTATAAATATTATGTGGAATTCCTTGGTTTTGTTTTGAAGTTTATAACAACAAGGCTCTGTGTTAAAATACAAATTTGGTGATCTAGTTTTTCAAGAAGTTACATTTTTTAATCAGCTCTATATGTTGCAGGAGTGACTGATCTCAAATTTTCCCTGTTTCTGACTCATATAACATTGAAGTAGTAGCAGCAGCAAAGACCTGACTTTTGTGCACCTGATACTGTAAGTGTATTAAATTTGGCATGTCCCATGAATGTCAGTAATTGTTGCATCAGAAATCGAGAGCATAATACGTTCTTCTGATGGATGGATGTTGTTTCCACTCGTATCAATGAAATAGCTGCGCCTATGTCCTAGAGCTAAATTTGCCCTTGGGGAAGAAGTGAAAGATTGATCCTAAAGAATGGTTTAGATTTTTTGTACACACAGTACTGGAACCTGAGCTAGACAACGCGTTGTGACAAACTTTGTGGGTCTGGGAGGGGAACTGAAATGTCAATATTAAGATGCAGGTACCAAAAAAAATATCTAGTTTTTCATATAAGAAGCAGAGATATAGAGCACAATGCTCATGAATACAATAGAAACTAAGTTTAATATTTTATATTGTGTACTAATTGCAAATATAAGAAGAAAACAAAATGTGGCATTCTTTGATGATTCAAGGGGCTTTCTATGAACATTTTACGAGTAAAATGAGGTATGTATAAAAGTATAGAAAGCTCTTTATAGAAGAGCCAATTGCAGCTCTGTGGTTAAGGATAAGTAGATTTTTCCACTTAAAGAAAGACTCCAACATTTCTGCCTAAAATCTGTGCTTCACTTTCTTTAAGAACAGTGAGAGGTAGTGGCCATTTTGAAGGAAGGTGGCATTGTCATCTGTCCTGTTGAAGCACAAGAATTGTCTTATAGAGGGCAGGTTTTGCATGGATTTCTGGGGATAGTCAGCTTAATCTAATCTGAGACCACAAATACCATGTTTACCCAAATCCAAGACAACTTCAGATTTAAGACAGCCCCTAATAATTAGATTCTATATGTGGAAGATTTTAAATGTGTTATAATTTTCTGTCTAATTATTGGAGGGTTGTCTTGAATTCATCCCCTTGTCCCCATTTCCATGCCCCCGGTGCCTGCCACCCTGCAAGGTGGGGGTCTCCCTAGCGCTGCCCCCTCACCATGCAGTCTCCTCTGCCATACTCCTGCGTCCTCTCCCCTGCTGTTCAAGCCACCCTAGCCTGCCCTCACCTCAGCAGCTGTCTGCCCCAGGCTCCTACTTGAATCTAAAGCAATGGTCGAATGAGGAAGAAACCTCTTTGCATTTCAGTATCATAATTCTTTTGTGTTGAATTTTAACTCTGAATTTCTTGGTTGGTTTTGAAATGGTGTCACCATCTTTGTGAAGTAGTATCTTCCTTTAAATTTTTGATAGGTATTCTTGGCCTTACAGTTTTACATAACTTTTTTGTAGAGAAAAAATTCAGGGCTCTATAATTTTAGACACAAGGCTGGATAGATTTGCACCTTTATAAACTAGCTAAATCAGAGATGCATAGCTTAAGCTTTTGTAAGCAAAAGGCTTGCTTCATCAGCGGCTGTGATATAAAGTTTTAGCCAACTTAAAAAAACTTTAAAAGGTCCAGAACACATCACTTTAGGACAGTAAATAGTCACAGGATTTATTACACCTTCTATAATCATTTAAGAAAATATTTAGGCTTTCTTGTTTTGATAGCTTTCATAATGGAACCAGTAAAATCTTGGTCTTATTCAGTTTATGTGGAGGGCATGGAAACAAATCTGCAGAGGAACTCTGAACCCTCTCCAATTGTTCTAATGGGATGTTATTTAAATACCCCCATTGTTATCTAAACACTTGGAAAAGTGCTTATCATTTCCTCGTTTCTGGTATTCTCTTGTAGATCCCTGTTGAGAGTACCAGTCTGCTGGACTGAAAAAGAATATGAATGTGCCCATACACCTCTACAGTAATGCTATTAGCTTGATTATCACAACCTTAATTTCTCTTTGTTCTCTGAGGGTGCAGTGCCTTCTGGATTTGGAAGGGCGTGGGGTAGTGGTGGGTTTGATTTTTAAGGATAGTAGAGGGGTTGTTTTAGCTATATATGCAATTCTTATGAAGTGAGCATGAAATAATCTGAGCTTACCTGCTGGGAAAAAGCAATTATAGCTAGGAATTGAGAACCCTTGCCTACAAGATGCCATTTCTCTGATTTCTCCTGAAGAAGGCTGGCTGCTTCAGAATGCTTAACCAAGGTTTGTTTTCCTTTTTTTATTGTAATCAACATAAAGTGTTTTTTGGTGTCTTCCAGTGCTTTTCACCCTAACGTAGGAAGTCTGGACTTCATAAGTGGGGCTTTCTAGCATTACTTAGCCAAGACAGCTTTTTTGGGGAAGTCCTTGTTAAAAGCTTAGTATTTTAATGAAGAAGGTTAATGAAACTGAAGCTTCCCTCCTCATATGGCTCAGGAGTAGGCACCATCATAAGTTAAAGAATACCTTTTCTTCTGGATTCATGTTTATTCTAATATATAGGATATATAGTAGCATCAGAGACAGAGAAGAAAGAATCCTATCTATAATGTGGTAGATCTGTTCGTTTCTTTTTGAAGCAAAATGAGGTCGACTTGGTGGCTTCCTCACATGTGTTCTATAACCATGATATCCTGCAATCTTTGTTTATGTCCTTTTTGTAAAAACAGTATGCAATTTGTCGTATGTACCAATTTTCCTCTTATAGTCTCCCTTTTACTACATGCTGCTTCTCAGAAGTTGTCTCAGGCTGGCCTGTGTTCATTGCATGAGAGAGTACAATTTTGCTTTATCTCTTAATTGGTATTCTCTTCGAGCAGACATCTGCCAAATGGGATTTTCTCTCTCTTATCTCTTATCATTCATCAGTGCATTCCAGCTTTAGAAGTGTTCTCTCCATCTGAAAGCACGGCACTCTGTATCTCCAATAGAGCAGGCCTGGAATCCACGAAAGAAAATATACATATGTGCACAACTGTCTCCTGGCTGAGATTCCCAGGTGCTTGTTGCCATTGTGGTGGATATTCCTTCCACTGGTATATCAGTTAAAAAGTAAAATGAAACTATCTCCTAATCCTGGACCCAAAATAGCCTATAAAAGAAAGCAAAGTTCCTTGGTTTAAAAACAAAACTACTTTTGCTCCTGAAGTTGGAATACGTGTGTAAACTTAAATAAAAACCATGCTTCCAGTCCATCAACTTTGCTAATAAAATCAAAGGGAAGGAACTTCAAGCTGGTTTCCTTTTTGATGGGAAAAACACTGCCTGCTAGAAGTAATCTTGGAACCACCCACTGTGACCTTTCATGGAAATATTGACACTTCCGAGCATTTATTTGTTAAAGTTTATTTGTTTTTATTTATTTAAAGTAGTTAATAACATTCAACAGAAATTCAGAATTTTTCGTAAAGCACAAAGAGGTAACAGCTAATAGGTTAGACAAGTGTGAAACTATACTCCAAAAAATAACCTGTTTGGGAAGTGTACATGACTTGATGTCCTTTCAGAGAAGGTTGGTGGTGTCGGGTCATTAGTAAATCCAGTATCTGTGAGGAAATGCAATCTTAAAAGAATCTGGATTTCTTTTTCTTTCACAGGGATCTGTTCTGGTTTGTGACACGAGTCGGTAACAGTACAGCTCCTCTCCCAGTCTCACTTGTCTTTTTTGCTGTTTGGAATTTAAGAGCACTTTTAATACTTATCTGTGTTATGTTCCAGCTATTACTTTCAGTGAGTATCTTTACTATATAAACTAGAAAGGAGATGTATCTGCTTCACTGATGCTTAAATCTCCCCTGAGCTATGCCAGAAAAAAAATCAGAAATAATTCCATTGAAGAAGGTGGTTACATTAGTGTACAGTAAGGAAAGAATTGATTCCAGTATTTCCAGAACATGGAGATTGTGTATTTATAATTTAAAAGTCCTTTGTACTTGAGACCACGTGTATTTAAAAAAAGAACATGTTAAATGTACAAGAATTTGACCTGCAAGCTCTTGTCCACTGCTTCCACTTGGATTATTCATGTGTCTGACCCAGCAATCCAGGCTGCTAGTTGTGTGACCATCTTTGTCCCATTATCTGGAGATTTTGCATGAGACACTCCTCCTTGCCATGGTCCATCATTGAAGCACCTCCCTTTCTGGCTATACATGTAGAAGAGCATGATAAGATTTTTCTCTTTCACCTACTCTTAGAGCTTTGCTCATATCACTGGTGCTAGTGCAGGTTTTATCCATTTAATTAGACTACTTGAACCTGAAGCGTGTCTTCTGATTGCATAGTCAAGGATCCTAAGGAAAATGCCTACTTGCTTTTTTATGAATAAATATCCCCAAAAATGGCTCTCAACAATCACAACTGCATTAATAAAATGTTTATTTAGCACCTTTCAACGTGAAGGATCCAAAAGCACATTACATTTAACTACATACATCATCACTGAATTGCATCCAGGCAAATAATCAGCACAAAACTCACTGCATAAAACTCAAGAGTTAGGAGTTTTGGCTAGTTGCAAGGGGCAAAACCCCCAGTATTTTGCATTAAAAAAGTGTTATGGGCTTTTTAATGACCAGATGTAGCTGACAAGATCCTGACTTTAAGGTCTCATGTGAAAGATCCACATGGTAAACTCTCACAACCTAATTTATCTACCTCAGATGACTGAATGTTTGCATCAGCCCTGCCAAGATTGGAGTCGGTGGTGCCAGAGTGTCTAGCCTAGTTCTGACCTGACATTTAGATGACTAAACCATCACCTAAAGCCAGAGGGCATACTTAATAAAGTAATATTTTGGTTGCATGTAGATAGCAATACAGCGTTATTTATGAATCCACTGTTCTCAAAGACTTTAGATGTTTGTATATGTACAGGTCTATGTATACAATAGGTCTCTTCACAAGCACCAGAAGTTAATTTAACATTCTGCAATTTCTGTTGAGGGAAAACTTGACTGACAGAGCTAAGCAGCTGGAATATTCTTCTGAGTGAAGTGGCAGAAGGCACTTGGCAAAAGTGAACACCATAGGAAACAATCCTGCATCAGCCACAAGGATGGAGGCTGCCTAAGGTCTTACCAGCTATCATTGCTACAATTCATAAGAAATAATAAATACTGCATAAGGCCTCTTTGTCTGCAGACCAGCTTTCAAAAATTTGGAATGTTTTATGAACACGTAAAGCCCAATTCCTTGCTGATGTACCTGCAGTGATTTCAGTGGAGTTACACCAGGGAGGAACTTGGGGCAGCATTGTGTAAATATGGCTTAGTTACTGCTAAACGCATTTCCTGGATATAAAATTTATTATGGTCTCTCAATTCAGCAAAGAAAAATTATAAGGCTATTTTTATACAAATTGAAAGCACTTAATACAAAATTACATGAATATACTGTGTTGTATGGCCTATCTGTGGAAAAAATACTGAAATACTACCATAGGGTGGTTGTTCAATACTAGTTTCGTCTTTCAACTTTTTATCTTAATACTAGAAAATATATAAATCATTTACATAACATTATGCAAAAAGAAGGCACAGCCGGTTATAGTTTACACAAGCACAATACATAATATGCAGAAAAAAGGGATTAAAAAAGCTTCACATCCTTATTAGATATATTGTTGAAATCCATTAAAAGTACTTCATCAACAACAGTGTTCAACACTTGAGAGCTAGGATATAAAAAAATTATAATTCATTTAATGCAAAACAGAATTTTATATATATATATAAAAATCATTGCTTAAAAATGCTAACATAAAGTAGATGATCCATGTAATGAAAAGTGCAAACCAACCAATGTAATTGAGGGTTTCACAATGTCCTTCTCATGACACAGGAAAAAATAACCCATGGGAATGAGTGTGTTAAAACAGTTAATGTGTCCTTAAAACATGAGGAGGCATCATCAGGACTTGTGAGCATTTGGAGAAAGCAGTACTGGAGAAGAGCCCCCATCCAAACTGGGGATTGGCACCGGTATGTGACCATTCAGGAGAGTTGGAAACTGCAAGAAGGCAAAAGATAAAATGTGTTTATTTCAAAGCATTAGCCCCAGTCCAGTACCTGTTAAATACTGACCGCTCCACATGGTGCCAGCTTTGCAAAGGTTGGTTCATAGATAAGAAGACAGGCACTAATGTTCTACTTCAAATAGTAAGAGTAAAACGTATTACTGAAAGACTGAAAACAGCAGGTTTTATAATGTCCAAAGAAGAAGAATATAGTTGACTACAATGAATAAGTAATTCACATAAGATAACTATCATCATCTATAGAGCACTGTCTGTCAGCTATCAGGGACATAGGATTATAAAACACTAGCCAACTGCCTGTCAGGCAGGATGGGGGGGGGAGGCAGAGGTCGGTGGAGGCAGAGCACTGCCACCCAGTGCCCCGTGGTGTCACCACTCTGTGTCTGGCCCCATGTGTCTCCTCCCCCACCGGCTCCCAGCTTGCATGCAGCAGCAGCCGCTGACACCCAGTACCCCGCACTGCCATCAGTCCATGTCATAGTTTCATAGTTGGTAGGGTCGGAAGGGACCTGAGCAGATCATCAAATCCAACCCCCTGCCATGGCAGGAAAGAGCACTGGGGTCAAACGACCCCAACAAGGTGTTAGTCTAACCTCTTAAAGACCCCCAGGGTAGGAGCCAGCACCACTTCGCTTGGAAGTTGTTTCCAGATCCTAGCCGTCCTGACAGTGAAGTAGCGCCTCCTGATGTCTAGTCTGAATCTACTCTCTGCCAGCTTGTGACCGTTATTTCTAGTCACTCCTGGTAGTGCTCGGGGGAACAGGGACTCCCCCAATGCCTGCTGGTCCCCCCTGACTAGTTTGGAACAGGTCACTAGATGCCCCCTCAGCCTTCTCTTGTGGAGGCTGAACAGGTTCAGGTCCCTTAGCCTCGCCTCGTAAGGCCTGGCCTGGTGCCCCCTGATCATGCGGGTGGCCCTCCTCTGGACTCTCTCAATGCTGTCCACATCCCTCCTGAAGTGCAGTGCCCAGAACTGGATGCAGTACTCCAACTGCGGCCTGACCAGTGCCGCATAGAGGGGGAGGATCACCTCCTTGGCTGCTGGTTCTTCCTCCCCAGGTGCAGTACCTTGCACTAGTCAGTGTTGAAACCCATCCTGTTCTCATCCGCCCACCCGTGTAATCTGTCTAGGTCCAATTGCAGCCTATTCTTCCCTTCTAGCATGCCCACTTCTCCCCACATCATAGTGTCATCTGCAAATTTGAATAGGGTGCTTTTACCCCCTCGTCCAAGTCGCTGATGAAGATGTTGAACAGCGCGGGTCTGAGGACCAAGTCCTGGGGGACCCTACTGCCCACATCCCTCCAGGTCGAAAATGACCCGTCCACCACCACTCTCTGGGTGTGGCCCTCCAGACAGTTAGCAACCCATTTGACTGTGTAGGTGTTGATGCCACAATCACCTAGTTTTTTAATGAGAATGGGGTGGGAGACAGTGTCGAAGGCCTTCCTGAAGTCCAGAAAGACTACGTCCACTGCTACCCTTGCGTCTGAAGATTTTGTGACCTGGTCATAGAAGGCTACCAGGTTGGTCTGACAGGACCTGCCTCTAATGAACCCATGTTGGTTGCCCCTAAGCATAACCTCCCCTGCTGGCTCCTTGTGGACATGCACCAGGATAATTTTCTCGAAAAGCTTACCCAGGATCAAGGTAAAACTAACTGGCCTATAGTTTCCTGGGTCCTCCTTCCTCCCTTTTTTGAAAGTGGGAACCATAATGGCCCTTTTCCAGTCCTCTGGCACTATACCAGAGCACCACAAGTGCTCGTAAAGCCGTGCCAGGGGTCCCGCAATGACCTCTGCTAATTCCCTCAGCACTCTGGGGTGGAGGTCATCAGGACCAGCTGATTTA